TCACTAGCCTAGAATAGCCAATGAGTGAATCTAAGGGTCTGCCTGTCCCCACTCAACCACCCCGGGAGTCCCACGTATGCTGCTGCACTCAGCTTTTGTGGCCAACACTCAAGTCCTGAAGCTTCCGTGGCAGGCTCTTTACTGACTGAGCCATCTGTCCAGCCCCGAACCTTCTCTTTTAAAATTCATCCATAATCCCCAATCCCAACACCAAGGAAGCAGACAGGAGAGTATCTCTGGGGTCTGCTGGCTAGCCAATGAGTGAGCTCCAGGTTAGTAAGAGACCCTGTCTCAAAACTTTTTTTGAAAAAAGTGGAGAGTGATAGAGAAGACACCAGTATTAACCTTTGGTCTCCACATGCACTCACACATATGTAAATCCTGAATGTGAACCGGGAGCCTCCCTTGTGGGAGCCCACATAGGTTTCCTAGTGAGATCTGAGCTTGCTTTACCAGTCACAGGCCTGGGTACCAGGTGTTTGGAAGGGTCTACACTTGGCTGTATCTAGCAAGGGGGAGGCCTTTTGCCCCGCCCCTTGGCATTGTTATAAAAAAGCCCTTTTGAATAAAGTTCTGGGCCAATGAATAAGGATCCAGGTCCTCCCAAAGCTATCCTGTGTTTCTGTCTTTCTTCTTCTTGGCTAGGCCTATCATTCTAACCTAACATCACTTATTCCTCTCTCATCCTCACAGGAACCCTGTAAAAGGTGGGGGCTGGTCCCTCACGCTCCCCCGCTGTTCAACATGGAAAATGGTATGGATGACACATATGCTTGGCAAACAGGTTGGCAGTTCCTCCAAAGGTTAAACAATTACTTCCAACCTGGCCATTTTCCTAGGCATAAAACTGAGAAATGAAAACACAAAAAGTTTATTCATAAATATCATTAAAAAACAAAAACAAATCGTTATTGGAACTGGAGAGATGGCTCGGTGGTAAAGAACACTTGCTGCTCTTGCAAAGGATCCTGCTTCAGTTCCCAGTACCCACATGGTGGCTCACAGCCATCTGTAACTCCAGTCCCAGGGTCTGATGCCCTCTTCTGGCCTCCTCAGGCATTGCATGCACATGCTACACACACCAAGATTCAGCAAGACACTCAATACACATGGATTTTAAAGTTATCAGCTGGGCAGTGGTGGCGCACACCTTTATCTCAGGACTCAGGAGGCAGAGGCAGGAGGATATCTGAATGTGAGACTAGCCTGGTCTACAGAGTGAGTTCCAGGACAGCCTGGGCTATGCAGAGAGACCCAGTCTCAAAAAAGCAAAATCAACAACAAAAGAGTTATCAACCAGAAATGAGGAAAACAGAACTAATCATGGAAGGATGAGTGAACAAATGAACTGTGCTGTGTCAGGCCACACTGGATTTGTAGCCGTCGACATGTTTTGTGACAACCATACTTATTAGGCAATGTCTGAAGTTCCCACTCTTCATATATGAAGTTTCTAATGTTCTATTTCCTATCACAGTTAGCCTTTATTCTGGCTGAAGTCTTTATCGGGTGTGTAGAGACCATTGAGATTTCTTTTTTAATATCAGATTGGTATAATATGTAACCTAACACAAATCCCGTAGTGACTACCTCACAAATAATTCAAGATTTTATAGTTTTAAAAAAAATACACAATGACAAGCAAAATACTACCCAAAAAAATACTACCCAAAAAAAAGCTCATAACTCTAGTCATATTTTTGTCTGTTTTGAGTCAGGGTCTCTCTACGTAGCTCTAGCTGTCCTCTCTCTGTAGACCAGGCTGACCTTGAACTCACAGAGATCTACCTGTCTCTGCCTCCTACGTGCTGGGATTAAAGGCATGCGCCACTATAACCAGCTCAGACAGATTTTTAATTCTTTATTTTTTAATTCTGTTTTATTTTGAAATGGGGACTCATGTGGCCCAGGCTACCCCTGAACTCCTGGTCTTGGTATGCAGCCCTGGCTGGCCCAGAAATATCTATGTAAACGAGGTGGCCCAAAACTCAAGGCCATCATCCCGTGTCTCACTTTGCACATGCTGGTTATGGGCTGTGCCCTGCAGCAGTGTGTTCTTGTGCCTTCATTTTCCTAACGGCTAATAATGCTGACAGCTTTTCTGCGTGTCTAACATCCAGCTCCTTGAGTGCAATGTCTGCTCAAGAAGGTTGTTGTCTTATTGAACATTGTATATTCTAGATAAACATGAAATTTCATGTGTTTTATAATTTTCAAGATTGTGGCTTGCTATTTTCATGAAAATGTCACTTGAAAAACATATAAAATTTCTGATTGTGAGGGCTGGGGATGTAGTTCAGTTTGTACAGTGCTTGCTGAGTGTGCCCAGAGCCCTAGGTTTGATCCCCAGCACCATACAAGAGGAGCAGGCCTTTCACCAAGAAGGCTCAGCAGGTAAAGGCACCTGCTGCCAAGCTTGACGACCCAAGTTCAGTCCCTGGGACCCACGTGGTAGGAGAGGACCAACTCCTCTGACCTACATACACATAACAAATCCATGTCATTTTTTAATGTGAAAACATGGGCATGGTGGTCTACACCTCTAATCTCAGCACTTGGAAGGCAGGGCCAAGAGAGTAAGAAAGCCAAGGTAGGAGCTGGTGAGATGGCTCAGGGGTTTGCCCTCGAGCTGACAACTGACTTCAATCCCTGGAGGCCACACTGTGGAAGGAGAAGACCAGCTTCTCTCATTGTCCTCTGACCTCTACATGTTCTCACACACATTGAAGTTCAGTCATGCTCAGCTACACAGTGTGCTCCAGGCCAGCCTGGCCAACACTAGATTCTGTCTCAAAAAACCTCAGTGTTTTTGATTAGTCTAATATTTTCAAACTAAGAAATCCTTTCTCATGTCAAGGCACCAGACAGTTGGCTTACATATTTCTTCTTATTAGTCAGTAGTTTAGGCTTTATTTTAAGTTACCATGTTTTATTTGCTTTCCTTAGTTTGACACAGCTAGTCATCTGGGAAGAGGGGACCTTCACTGAGAAAACACATTCATCACATTGGCCTGTAGGCGAGCAGCTGGGGGCATTTTCCTGACTGATGATTGGGGGCCCAGCTTCCTATGGGTGGAATAACTCTGGGCAGGCAGCAGCCGACCCATGAGCGTGTGGAGTAAAGCAGCTTTCCCCAGCGGCCTGTTTCAGTTCCTGTTCAGTGGCAGATGCTGTTATCTGGAAATAGAAGCTGAAATAAACCCCTCTCTCCTCAAGTTGCTTTTGGTCAGTGTTTTATGGCAGTAATAGAAAGCACACTCACACAGTTACAATCCACTTCCCGGTAACGTAGAAGTGAACAGTGGGTTGACATGGGTGTTTTAAAGAGCAGAAATCCCAGTGTTAATCCTTTCAGACTGCTTTACACATGGAACTTACTGTGCTCTGTCAAACACTGACATGAACATGGCAGTCTGTGTCTGCTCCACTACGTTCTACTCATCTGCTAGTCTGCCACTGCACCAAAACCAGTCCTAACCACTGTAGCTAACTTGAGTCCTCCTAATGCCTGTTTACACATCTGTTTTGAATATTGTTTTTTTTTTCCTTTCCATCTACTTGCTGATGTCTACATGAATCCTGCAGGGAGTTTGACCAGAGTTCCAGTCTATGGATAAATTTGAGGAGAACTGGTGTAACACTAAATGCCTTTAATCCCAGCACTTGGTGGCAGAGTCAGATGGATCTCTGTGAGTTCAAGGCCAGCCTGATCTACAGATGGAGTTCTAGGACAGCCAAGGGTACACAGAGAAACGGTGTCTTTTTTAATATAATATAAGGCATGGTAGATTTTTTTTTTAAATCAGTGCTTTCTAATTTTCAGCATATAGACTGTATTATGCACATACATATATATTTCATTTTTGGTGCTATTATAAACGGTAATTTTAAAACTATCTTTTTTTTTTTTTTTTTTTGGTTTTTCGAGACAGGGTTTCTCTGTGTAGCTTTGCACCTTTCCTGGAACTCACTGTGTAGCCCAGGCTGGCCTCGAACTCACAGAGATCCGCCTGCCTCTGCCTCCTGTGTGCTGGGATTAAAGGCGTGCGCCACCACCGCTTGGCTTCTTTCTCTTTTTTATTATTTTGTTTTTTCAAGACACCGTTTCTCTGTGTAGCCCTGGCTATCCTAGAACTCCATCTGTAGATCAGGCTGGCCTTGAACTCACAGAGATCCATCTGACTCTGCCACCAAGTGCTGGGATTAAAGGCATGCACCACCACCGCCCGACTAAAACTTCCATTTCTTATAGTTTTGGTTGTGAGCCTAGCCTTTAACGGCTGAGCCATCTCTCCAGCCCAAACTTCCATTTCTAAATGCTTATTTCTATGTAGAAATACAACTGTCTCTTGCATACTTGCTAAACTCAGTAATAGCTTTCATTAAATCTTTGATTTTTCAGGGCAGGCAATCACATAATCTAACCACAGGCTTCTTACTCATTTCCAGTTTGTGGGCCTTATTAAATAAAGAACCTTTACAAAATAATGCATAGAATGCCTTGTTCCCAGTCACACACAGAAAACACCTTGACTTCACCAAGAGTGTGGCTCACTGTGGCTTCTGTAAACTCTCTTTATCTGGTTAGTCTTAGTTTGCTAAAGAGTTGGTTTTTTTTTTTTTTATTATAAATAGGTGCTGAATTTTCTTTTTTCTGCATTTTTGGCAAAAATTTTATGGAATATAATTTACATGCCATAACACTCATTTCTTTAGAAGCATACAGTTCAGAATTCTCCTATGTTCACCACCACTTCCTGGACTTAGGATGCCATGGTCATTTATATATATTAATCCAGCGAATTGCATTATGATGTTTTCTTTTTATATACTATCAGGTTTTATTTGCCTATTACAAATTTACAAAAGTCACAGTGATCTTATAATAAAATAACACCTTGAATTTACTTAGTATTTAGCAGTCAAGAAGGTCTTAAATGTTGCCACAAAAAATATCATTTAAGAAATATATAATCTTTTTTTAAAAGCCTTGGCCAGCATAGTGGTGCACATTTTTAATCCTCAAAATTGCAGAAACAGAAGCAGGCAGAGGTCTGTGAGTTCGAGTCAAGCCTGGTCTACATAGCTGAGCTGCGTACAGGTGAGCAAGGTTTACATAGTGAAACTGTCTCAAAAAAAAAAAAAAAATCCGATGACTATTGGAGCCTACTTCAGAGGGTGAAAAGCGCTTGCTTAGCACGTGGAGAGCCCTGGATCCAATCGAGGTTCTAAAAGCCCCTTGAAAAACAAAACCACACACAACTAGGGGCAGAGCGACCACTCAGTGGTCAGGAGCTCATACTGCTCTTGCAGAGGACTTGAGTTCTGGTGTCAGCACCTGAATTGGGGCAGTTGACAACCACCTCTAACTCCGGCTTCGGGGGACTTGACAACTATGGTTTTGGGGGGCATCCATACTCATTTACATATTTTACCCCATATCCCCCAGCCACATACACACAATTAAAAATGAATCTTTGCAAATAAAACAAACAAAGCAGCAGCCCACACGACACAAGTGTGGTGACACACTTGTCACAGACTGGGAGGTGAGAGAGAGGAGGACCAGGGCTCAGCACAATCCTCACTTCCTGGGGCCAGACTGAGTTCCGTGAGACAATGCCTCGAAAATACCAAACCAACCAAACAGAAAAGTCAGGTGAGCAACTCACGTCTACAATTCCTCCCAGCACACTGAAAAGCTGAGGCAGGAGGACTGCTAGGAATCCGAGGTCCAGGCCCTAGGTTAAATAGGGAGAGTGTGAAGGAAGGAAGGAAGGAAGGAAGGAAGGAAGGAAGGAAGGAAGGAAGGAAGGGAGAGAGGGGCAGAGGGAACCAAAAACCAAAATAAACACAATAAAAAACTCACATTGGCTCTACAGATAAGCATTAAGGAAACTGTACCAGAACAAGGAGGTAAGCTTAAATAATTTACGTAACAGAAAATAGCTTCCCAACTGGGGGATGGAGTTCAGTAGCAGAACACTGGACCAACATGAATTGAACAAGGTCCTAAGTTCAATCCCTGACAGAGGCAAACTAATCACTAATATAGTAATAGGAAGCACTTCGATAGTACATTCTAACTGGCTGGTTTGGGGGCTTTGCATGGATGCCCAAAAACACTCCATAAGGTGCTTGAGACGGGGCTGTGGGTGCAGCCCAGTGACAGCGTGCTTGCTGGCCACCCAAGGCCCAGAGTTCATCTCCCTCAGTACAACAGCAAACCAGAATGCTGAAGGGAGTTGATTTCCCAGAGGTGGAGCTGAAGGTCCTAGGTAAGCTTCAATGGTGTGGTGAGTATTCCTTTTCTAATCAGCATTACAGAACAAAAATAGAAAAACTTTCTGAAGCTATTTTTATTCACATTTTACATAAGATTGCAAAATGTCAGTTATGAAGTATCAAAAACTGGGGATGCTAAGCCAGCCCATCCTCCTCCTTCACCCGGTGCTCTGCTCACTTCAGTATCCACACACCAAGCTCCCATCTCAAACATAAGATCCATAGGTGGCTGGCTCTTACTGTTTCAGAAAGCATCATGCATCTAGGAGAGTAGACTGCATTTCTGCCACAGAAGTGGAAAAAGCGTAGACATATTCTCATTTCAATGCAGTTCACACTAACGAACTGTGCAAAGAGGAGAGCTTCCAGGTTTTCTTAGAAGTAATGTCCAATGGGTTTGAAAATTAGGTAGCTAAAAAGGCTTATTGCATGGGAAATGGTTAAAACTGCTATTACTGAACTAAAGAAAAAAATGCAAAACCTTTTTGTTTCTTACAGAAGAGTATAAATGTTTATTTTCTGTATGATTTATTCTTCTGTCCTGTTTTTACAATATAGAAAAGTGTACTTTTTGAATAGCTCTAGTAAATATAATCTTTCTACTTTGGGATGTAAATAGGGCTTAAAAATTATATACCGAACCCTCCCCAAATAATCTTTTAAAATTGGTGACTTATGTGGCTGTTAACTTTGTTCAGCGAAGTGATGCAAATGCCTAATACAAAGGTTGTTCAGTGAGTACCAGACAGGAGGAAGGGCGTGATACTTCAGGAAGCTTCTGAAAAATCAAAACTAGTAGCATTTGATTGCACCTTCAAATTTTTACAAGCAAAACATTCTTAAGCAATGCCATCATACATAATCTACAATTATAATCAAAAATTCACAAACATTTTGCACACTGTATATAAATACACATCACAATGGTGCAATTAGAATTAACACATAATATATACAAAATGAACAAAGTTCAGGTTTAGACCAAAAACTTATTGCAGTCTTTTGAAAAATAACTTGATTAGATATTATTTTGTCCTTTTAGACTAATTTACATTTATACAAAGTTTACTTCGACACACTAGACTGAGGTGCTAAGAATGTCTGCATTATCTACATTTAAAGTCACTGCCCTATAATTTATAAATCCACACTTTAAAAGGATAGTTTAATGAATAACGGAATCCTCTTTCATTAATTTCTATTGCCTGTATCTTTCATGTTCATATGAACATATGTACACACTTACTACATACAACTATAAAATCCTTGTAGGAAGGGTAATAATAAGCATATGCTAATAGTTACCAAGGACTAAGGTACCTTACAAAATGCCTCAATTCCAACATAGTTCCCCCCTTGTCCTAAACTCAAGAGTCCTGCTACAACAGGCCCTTAAGATCACACAGTCTTTAATTACGGAAAATGATTTAAGTCATTTTTGCAATTATGAGAACACACATACCCCAGCTTACCAAATCACTGGCTAAAAACAATGCTGAATTAAACTGCCTTTATAAAAAGTAGCTCACTACAATAGTGAAAGCTGCTAGAAGCCCATTTCAGTAAATTAGTTAATACATTGATTCAAACTTAGTTCCAAAAGTCTACAGAGAACTGTGTGGATAAAAACTTCATCATACATGATCTCACAGCTTTGTGTTCTTGCTTCTCCATCCAAGTCAAATTTTATACTTGATGCTTATGAGTCCTATATTATCTTGGCATGAAATGTTTACTTCAATTCACACAATCTCTCATTTTAGAAGTTATCAATAATGACTTCGACAATTATTATAAAATATACCACTTCCTTCAAAGAAAATGAAGACATTCCAGAACATGTTAGCCATTCCTCATCAGAGACATACTGCCCATCCTCTGAAAATTACTGTCCCTTAATATTTTGTTTTCTTTACAGAAAATACAACTTTCATATCTGAAAAGTGTGATGGGGATTGTTTCCCCTTCCAATTTCCCAAAGACAACAGACAGTATTCCAGAATCCACCCAAAAAAGCTGATTGTTCTTTAAAAGGATGGTGTTTTCTAGACAAAATATTATATGTTTCATTAAGAATCTGGTTATAGGCCGGGCGGTGGTGGCGCACGCCTTTAATCCCAGCACTCGGGAGGCAGAGCCAGGCGGATCTCTGTGAGTTCGAGGCCAGCCTGGGCTACCAAGTGAGTTCCAGGAAAAGGCGCAAAGCTACACAGAGAAACCCTGTCTCAAAAACCAAAAAAAAAAAAAAAAAAAAAAAAAAAGAATCTGGTTATGTGGACATTCTACCTGTGAATATTCTGGATCTGGAGCCAAAGAATGGGTCCTACCCACGCTGCTTTGGCTCTGTCTACTGAACAAAGTCATACAACACCATACATTATAAAGGATATTACAATAATTTATGAATGTACTTTGTCAATAGAATCAGAAGGACAGAACATCTAATTCTTAAGAAACCCAAGCAAATTAAAAAATATATAATACAATAAAAGAAAAAATTTTAAAGAAAAAATTTAGAAGGGACAGAGGCAGAATTAACTAAGATTTAAAATGTACTAATTTCTTCATTTAAATTTTCTTCTCATTCAATACTAGAGTTTCAGGTCTCTTAAAACAAGGGCCGAGTTAGAATTCAGTAATTGTTAACTATCTTCTAGACAATCCAATGTCCTGGCACCTTAAATTCTCTGTGCAGCTCACGTCCGCCTTTTGTGCAGGAGTTAGCAGTGCATGGCACAGGGGTCACTTTTGGCTTTTCCTGCAGAGTTGATGACGCTCATCAAACACCGTCCAAACTCCTCAAGTATCATCCGCTCTGCCGCTGCCTTTGACTTCCCCTTCTTGTCTGCCTGCTCTGCCTGGGCAAGAAGGCAATTACACGTGGCTTCAGCTACTTCCTTAGTTACAAATGTAAATGGCAATCTGAAATGATTTTCGAGAGAGAAACACAGATGATCACGGGGTTGATCAGGGATTCCACTGGTACCTTCATGCTGCACCAGCATAAGGCACATCAGGGTTGTGAGTTAAAAACATCCTCAAGGGTTCTAAGACACAGGTTTGGTCTCAGCGAGCTATCTAAAAAGATTTACCAGGAAATACATTTAACATAAAAGACAATGTTGTCTGGCTAAAGAGAAGATGGACTCCTAACCTATCCTGGGTGTTCTACCACTCATTCTCCCAGTGTGCGAAGGCCCCACCAGTGCTGACCTGGTCTCATGTCCTCTTTCTGACACACAGAGGAATTCCATGAACCTTACTGCAAACTAAAAGAATTACTGAAAGCAAGGTTCTACCACACTCCCTTATATTGTTAGAAAGAACAAACAAAAGCCCAATGCCTGGCACACACCTTTAATCCCAACACTCAGAAGACAGAGGCAGACAGATCTCTTCAAGTTTGAGGCCAGCCTAGTCTACAGACTGAGTTCCAGGACAGCCAGGACTGTTAAACAAAGAAACCTTGTCTTGAAAAAACATAGGAAAAAAAAAAGAAAGAAAGAATTTCGGGTATGGCATCAACAAAATCGAGTGAATATACTGGCATAATTTTTCGGTTCTGCCTTTTTCTTAGTATGTTTATGTGTGTGAGATTGTGCATGCATGTGTATGTACATGCACATGTGGAGGTCAGGAGACAACTTGGGTGGTATTCCTTGGGCAGTCTACCTTGTCTTTTAAGGACTCAACTGGCCTGAAACTCACCAAGTACATTATGCTTGTTGGTCAGTGAGCCCCAGAGATTCTCTGTCTACCTACCAGAGCTAGGCTTAGTAGTATACATCACCACACCAGCTTTTTTATTTTTTATTTGGTTTTTCGAGACAGGGTTTCTCTGTGTACCCCTGGCTGTCCTGGAACTCACTCTGTAGACCAGGCTGGCCTCGAACTCACAGAGATCACTTGCCTCTGCCTCCTGAGTGCTGGGATTAAAGGTGTGCGCCACCACTGCCCAACAAAATGCCCAGGTTTTTAAATGTGGTTCTGATGATCAAATTCAGGTCCATCTTTATTGAGCTATCTCCCAGGCCTTATACGATTTTTCAAAAACACAGCTTTAATTATAGTGTGTAGTGTAGTGTGTGTGTGTGTATGTGTGTGTGTGTGCGCGCGCGCGCGTGTGTACGTGTACGTGCGCATGCGCTTGCATTTCTGCAGGTTGAACCAGGACTTCCTCACACACACAAATGCTCTATCATTGAGCTGTATCCCCAGCCCTTTAGCATATAATTTTGTGTTTATATTTCCATCATGAACATTGGGGGGGGGGGGGGCTGAACTGTTTTACTGTAGTGATATCTTTAATAATCAGAGATTAGATTTAGTAATCTTTAAGTATCATTAATATATTTTAAAAAATTAGGTATCTGCTCCTTTTTACATACTTCAGTCAAGAAAATTTTGTAAATGATACTTCTGTTCTAAGAGGCTGGGTTGATAGCCAGTCTGACAACCAGAGTTCCATCCCTGGGCAAATGAAAGGCAAAAGAAAGAACCCACTCCAGAGTCCTCTGATCTCCTCTCAATCTCTCTCTCTCTCTCTCTCTCTCCCTCCTTCCCTCCCTCCCTCCCCCCCCCCTCTCTCTCACACACACACACACACTCACAGGCAAGTTGGGTGTGGTGGCTCAGTGTGTTACCCTGTTACAAACATTAAACCTTTCTTCAACATGAGTATTTAATAGGTCAGCAGTTCTCAACCTTCCCAATGCTGTGACCCTTTAATACAGTTCCTCATGCTGTGGTGACCCCAACCATAAAATTACTTTTGTTGCTACTTCATGACTGTAATTTTGCTACTGCTATGAATTATAATGTAAATATCTGATATGCAGGATGGTCTCAGGTGACCCCTATGAAAAGGTCATTTAACCCTCAAAGGGGTCACCACCTACATGTTGAAAACCTCTGTAATAGATCATTTACAAGATTCATTCTCTTAATATTTTCTCAAATAAATCTCTAATACACTGTCTAATATAAATCCAAGTCCAAATGACTGTTAACAGCAGACCTTGAAAATCACTGGCAACAGAAATGCTTCCTGCAGTTACCAGAAAGCTGAAACCAGATACATAGAGTGCTTTTCCCACCAACTAAGAAGTAACTAAGATAGAAAACACAGGTCTACCTATTTTTGTTCTTTTTCTTCTTATTTTTTAATACAGGGTTTCTCTGTGTAGCTTTGGTGCCTGTCCTGAAACTCACTCTGTAGACCAGGCTGGCCTTGAACTCACAGAGATCCACCTGCCTCTGCCTCCTGAGTGCTGGGATTAAAGGCCTGCATCACCACCACCACCGGCCTATTTTTTGCCCCTTTTCTATTATTTATTTTAAACACTTTGGCATATATTCTTTTCAGGTAATTATGTTATGTACTTTATATCTAATACCTTTATTTTTATTTAACTAATTAATTTTGCTTTATTTACTTAGTTTTTTTTCAAGACAGTTTCTCTATGTACCCCTGGCTGGCCTGGAACTCCAGTGCTTCCTGCTCAGCTCCTGAGCAGCTGTGCCTACTGTCTGACTTCAGCGTCTCTACTCCAGAGTTCAGAGTCCAGGGAACAGAAAATAATGAGACTACACTGTTCCGGTGCAGGGTGGAAAAGCCTAAGAACACAGACTCATCCCGAGAACTAAGGAGTGAGGAGGAACAAGGAAAGAAGTGCAAACGCCAGCTTTCCTCAGCGTTCCTCAGATCACATACTTACCTCAAGGCAGCAGAGAGACCCTGTCAAGAGCCACAGCAAACTACGCTTCTGTGCACTGTGCAACAGCACAGACTCTGACCGCGCTTTCTCTTCACCTCACTTACAAGGTAAGAAAGGCGGAGGGAAATGGAAAATTCAGGTTGGCAACAGCGTAGAGTCCGAACTTAACCTTGTCTCCCTAAAAAGAAACCTTACTAAAAATGACCATCTGAGAACAGATAAAAAGGCTTTGAGAAGTATCGACTCACTTTCCTCCTCCACTGTTCAGAGCTGGGGTCGGCCTCGTCAGCAAGTCTGAGATCTGAGAGGACAGCTTGGTCTTGGCTGCCGTCTGCTGCTGGACCCTCACTTCAGCGGCGTCTGCTAAGTGCATCAAGGTCTTCCGTTCTGGGCTTTCTTCAAAGTTCTTACAGCCAATGCATTTGCAGATTGAGGAACACATTATTTTAGCCTGAAAGATTTACAAAAGGGAAGTTTCCAAATCAAAAGCAGAAAATTGCTGTAAGTAGGTTGTTCCGCAACAGGAAAGTACTGGCATTATCTTGTCAGCTGAGGTAAGCTTAGATGGAAGTATGCTCTGCTAACAAAGGCTGTATCTGTGGATGAGTCAAGGATTAGCTAAGAACACTGCTTCACTCAAGGCCTTCAGCTCTCATCCACTCTGACTACAGATAGGACTAACATTTTCTTCAGAATGAATATACGAAACACACAAAAACATTTAAAAAAGGTCACTAAGAATCCAACCTCAATCAGATCACCATTAACACACCAGTGACCTCACACTTATGCAGATAAACTCACAATTTCACATTAAAGGGATTTCATGCCTGGGCTTGGTCAGATGAGGCACAAAGACTCTCATGAATCAGAGGCCAGCCTAGGCTATAAGTATGAGACCTTATCTCAAAAGGAAAAAAGGAGAAAAGGGGGATTTCATGCATTGTTTCTCCTCCTTCGCTCAATCAGAGTCTCAAGCCCTTGGATAATCCAAATCCATAAACCAGTATGCTCCTCTATGTAAAAACATAAAGTATATTTACATAAAGACACAGACTGAAGCTAGGTAACGGCCCACCTCTATAAACCTAGCACTGGAAAACAGAAGCAGGATGATTAGTAGCTCAAGGCCAGCTTGAGCTGTACAGTGATTGAAGGCCAGCCTAGGCTACATGAGACCGTTTAAAACACACACGCACACGCACACGCACACACACAAAATAACTAACTCACCCCGAAAACCCAAACCTTTGGTACAAAGAACAGCTGACAGATACAGAACTCTCTCTTTCAGCTTGTTTTACAGAATCCCCGCCTGCTCTGCTGTGCCTCCTTTCCTCAACTTCACAACTCTGTCTCCTCCAAGCCACCCAGCAGGGCTGACCCTGGCATGATGTGCCACGGTTTTGGGTCACTCATCCCCTAGTGGGTGTTTGTTTACAGTTCTTGGGGAACAAAGCAATTCATAAAAAGGGTTGGCATTTTTATTTGTTTGTTTGTTTGTTTTGGAGGGAGGAGTATCCAAATACAACTTCTATTTCTCTGAACTAGATTTTTTAGAATAGACTCTAGGTCAAAGCATATGTGTCCTTTAAGTGAAGTGGTGAGGTTGATTCTCACACCTCACCACCAATGTGTACATTAAGGCTTTCCAGTATTTCTACCAACACAGGCACTATAACTCTTTGTACTATTATCCAAAAGAATTTTTTTGATTATTTTTGATACAGGGTCTCTCTACATAGCTCTGGAACTCACTCTGTAGACCAGACTGTTCTTGAACTCACAAAGATCTACCTGCCTCTGCCTCCTGAGTACTGGGATTAAGGCATACGCCACCTTTCTGGGCTTCCAATGTGATGAGGAGGTGTAAACAGCAAAGCACAGCCGGGCAGTGGTAGCACACGCCTTTAATCCCAGCACTCAGGAGACAGAGGCAAGGCAGGTGGATCTCTGTGAGTTGGAGCCCAGTCTGGTCTACAGAGCAAATTCCAGGACAACTAGGGTTGTTACACAGAGAAACACTGTCTCAAATAGTGTGCATGAGTATTTTGCCAGAATGGATGGATGTATATGTACCATGTGCATTCCTGATGTCTGAAGAGGCCAGAAGAGGGCACTAGAGTGCCTGGAACTGGAGTTCCCTATCTTTTGCTGTTTCTTTGTTGATTTTGGGAGACAGGTCTCACTGTGTATCTTTGGCTGGCCTGGAAGTAATATAAAGCAGGCTGGTGCTGAATTTCTAGAAAGCCACCTGCCTCTGCCTCCCAATTGCTGTGATTAAAGATGTGTGCCACCACATCTGCCCCACTTCCTTCTTTATTTTTTGGAGACAGAGTCTCCCTATGTAGCCTTGGCTGGTCAACCCACTATGTAGACCAGGTTGACCCAAATGGGATTAAAAGCATGCGCCACCATGACTGCCCAACTCCCTCTTTTCATGAAGACAAGCCTCAGTATGTATTCTAGGCTAACCTTGAACTCACAGTGATCCCTCAGTCCCCTGAGGACTGGAATTACAAGCTTGCATTACCACACTTGGCTCTTCTTTTAGGTGTTTTTGTTGTTGTTGGGGTTTTCTGGACAGAGTGTCATAGCTCAGGCTGGCCTGGACCTCAATTCCATCCACCTGCCTCTACCTCCTAAATATTGGGATTAGAGGTATGTACCCCATAGAGTTAGAGAACTGGGCAACATCCTCAGATTCCCCCAGAGAATACTTATTAAGCACCTAATGATAAAGAGAGGAAAAACCTTGGCTTTTCAACAGAGACATATCAAAAGTAGAAATTTTGATTTTTTTCGATTATTTTTTTCTCTGTGTTTATGTGTATGCGTTTGTGTGTAGCCACGCACGTGGAGGAGGCCAAAAGGAGTCAGATCCCCTAGAGCTACACCGTGGTTGTTATGAGCTGTCTGACAAGAGTGCTGGGATCAGAACTGGGATCCTTTGGAAGAGCAGGGAGCATTCTTAGCCACTGCACCATCCCTCCCGCTCCAAATTTGAATTAGAAAGACACCAACAGAGCTCAGGAAAGAAATTAAAACAGTATGCTGCTGTGGGATATTCAATCACACTGTGAACCCCAAGTTGCATTTGCATTAATTAAATAAAATCAACCTTGGGTGAGAAGGCTCACTAGTTGCTGGCTCAGCAACTAGTTGACAGAAAGTAATCATAGAGAGCCACAGGGAGTTTGGAAGATGGACACAGAGACACACAGAAGTGGTAGGGAGGGACTCTGAGTGTGGTAGTCTTTTTTGGTTTGGCAGAGCACTAGGATGCTTTCTTTCCGAGACACTGATGAAGAGGGAAGGTAAGCTAGTTGCTCCTTGAGCTCTCTGAGCTAGCAGGTTTTCACCCCACCCTCTGACTCTCGAGTCTTACTAATATTTAGTGAAAAACTACAGATGGTGGCAGTGGCAGAGGCGGATCCTGTAGGATGTAAAAGTTCTGGGCAGCTGCTTGAGAAGCAGGCCAGTAACTGTGGAGGCGCAAGTACTGGCTGAAACAGCAGTAGGTTCAGGTGCAGCCGCCGTGCCAACGGGAAAAACAATATGCTATCTATTTAGCTTTGTTAATTCGGCCTCCCCAGAAGTCGAAGCAGAGCTGGGTAACACAAGAAAGAGCAGAAGCATTTAAACAGCATGCAGAGTCACACGTAATCAAATAATCCTTGAGGACAGGTGAAATAAACTTGAATGTGTTGTCCAGAGGTAAACCAACAGGACCAAAAACCAATTCAACTGTATGTCAAGGTATCAACAAAAGCCTCAAACTGCTGAAAACATCACCAATCCAACTGGCCAATTAACCACTGCTACTCATTGCTTGATATGTTCCTAGTTTTTCATTTTCCTGTTCTTTTTGTAAATGAGTTTTAGAATGACAAATCAGCTGTTAAGCAGAATGTCTGTCAGGATATAGTTGCTAACACTTTCTAACCACCCCACTGTTTTTTCTACTTCTACTAATCTATAGACTGTGACCAGCTCAACTGAATGATTAGGTTCACATACTGTGAGGTTCACATGAGCAAGCTTGTTTGTCCTGACTGCTCTGTGCCATAGACACAAACGACTGTGCCCCTCGGACTTCGCTTTAGAGCAAAGCTTGTCTTCTCTTTTTTCTGTAGATTTGCTCTAATGGCTTTCAAATTCAAAACGGTACACTTGTTTCATACATATTCACTCCAAGTTTTCTATGACATGGTTTATATACACAAGCTAAATGTTTTAGGAGTTAGTCCAATGAAAAAGCAAAAATATTCTAGCATTGGCTGAAAAACTGGCTTGCTGGATTTCAAGATGTCACAGAATTAAAAAGTTCATATGCTTTCCACTTCAATTGACTGTGGGACTAACACATTAGTTCCTACTTTGAGAGAAACTGACCTTTTAATTATATTATTCATTTTCGACAAATACATATAAGTTGGCCTTGTACATTCTGGGCAAGTGCTCTACCTCTAAGTTGTATCAACCAGCACTTGACTTTTTAAATAGTAAATTCACAAAGAATACAGCACACAAAACCTTAATATGGTTAGTTTTATATGGGAGAAGGTAATGGAAATGCAGGAGATATTTTTCGAAGGAAGGGTATACCCATTAGTAGTGTGATTTTGCCAAATGAAAGAATAGGCTTTCTGTCAAAATTGGGGGTAGGGGGAGTTCCCCTTTGAAAATGACATTTGAAAGACTGAAAATATAGAAGAGATAAACTATAGGAATGACCCAACCGAAGGGTTAATATCAGGCACAGGCAGATTGTTACATTTAAGCTTTGAAAATAAATAATAAGTTTAAGACCCTGTCTGAAGCAAGCAGCAGATGATTTTACATGTGACCTGTAAAGACAGAGCAGCAAATACATTCTCCAGAGAAAACAGCAGCAGGCCCAGAAACAGACCTGCGGGCCGAGCACCACAGGAGCAGTGAGCAGGGATGCAGTGAGCTCACGGTAACCGGTGACTCAACCACACCAAGCCGTGTGCTCCCTCCTGCACAGCAGTCCTCCTCAAGGGCCTACTGGTAAACTAGCAGTCAAGACAGCCTTTATTTCAGGGTTACCCCAGAATGCGGGCTACTTGGTGTCCACACATATCTAAGAAGTCCACGGAGGGAGCTGGGTGGGTAGTACTGTACGTGACCCAGAAGTTCTGCTGCAGGCACTCTGTGTCGATTCTACTATTTTAAGTGAGAAATTAGTATACTGGTATTCTGACTGACACACTCTCGAGTAACCACCATTAATTAAGTCATAGACTCGTAGCTCAGATAATGAAAGCGACCCCATCTGGAATGATGAGTCTAAGGAAGGGTTCTTCTCAAGCCCTGCCTGGAAGGTGCCAGCCTTTCCTCCAAGGGCCCTGCACTAACTGCATGTTTACAATTCTAACAGTACAGTGGTTTGCCAGTCCTGAAGTAACATTTCCAACAGGTGGCTGATGACCTTCCACCACCAGCATCTTACCTCGTAGCACTCACAGTAGTTTTTCAGACATCCTGACCGCTTGCAATTACACCCTTTGCTGTGCCGCCGATCAGACTCCCCCTCCTTTCCTTTCCCTATCTTCGGCTTAAAGGCTTCCGGATTTCTATCAAGGCATGCCTTTTGGAACAAACAAATACCAACTGAGGTTAAACCATAGATTCAATTTAAATATTTCAAAAGTAAAGAATTAGTATTTACCTTTGTAAAACAACTGAGTTCTTTAAAAATAGGTAAAAGGAGATTTTTGTGAGTTAAATGAAAAGAATCACCTTTATTGCTTTTTGTCTTTCATTTTCATGTTCCAAATTGTTGTAACAATTGGTACAATTGCAGTTGTTGCAAAACTCACCATTTGCAAAGCAATCACAGTATCTGAAGATAAAAACCAGTATAAAATTAAAAAGTCATTTTAAATAAAATAGCAAATAATTATACATACACATACCTTCTACCTCTGTGATGTCTTACATTTTAGGAATGGTCTCAGAGCTCCTTAGACACAGGATTAACAACCGCACATACAGATTGTCAATCACATATGAGAGCTCAAAGTCTGAGCCACCAACTCCTGGAATTTTATCCTAAAAACTTAGTCAAACTAACAGATGCCAACACAAGAGCTATGTGATTTGATGTGTCCTGAAGTAAGTTATTTCAAAATACTGAGCAAAAGGAGACTGGCTTCATTCTTACTACAGACTCGCAGGCACTGGAATAGTGCTGCTTGGGATCCCAAACCTTCAATAGAACCAGTATGTTTTACTGAACTTGTTCATGTCAGATCTTTTAGTTTAATCCTAATGAGAAAATTAATCATCCAATTAACTTGTTTGCTTTTTATTTATTTTATATGTTTGAGTGTTTTGCCTGCATGTATGTATGTGCCTGGTGCCCACAGAGGTCAGAAGAGGGTGTCAGATACCCTGTGATTGAAGCTACAGGTGATTATGAGCACCTATTTGGGTGTTGGGCCTGTGCAAGAGCAACTAGTGCTCTTAACTACTGAGCCAACTCTCAGGCCCTCATTCAATGACTTTAAAACTACAGTGTTTCCTGGTTGGGGGACCACATAAGGCTATAAACAAGACCCAACTTGTTAATAATGAGACATAACCTAGGTCTCATTTTGCTGGGTCCCTAGGCCCTACTGGTGTATGGAGAACTCTAACATATTTTCTTCTGTTTTTGTTTGTTGTTTTTATAGACAGAATCTTACACTATAATCTAGGCTGTCCCACACTCACTACCACAGATAGGCCAGGATGATCCTGAATTCCTGTCCATCCTCCTGCCACGGTTTCCTCAGTGTCAGGATTATAGGCATGGGCCACCATGCCCGGATTATTTTCTTCTGAACCAATGGAAGGATAGTTTTTATGCTACAGCATGTGTTCAACCATTCACATTTAGGTTTATTTAAATTGTTTAAACTTAATAAAATGTGTCTGTTAGGAATTTGTAATTAGATCTCTCCATTATCATCCATCTATTCATCTGTCATCTAACTACCTACAGGGTTCCATGAAGTCAGGCCAGTCTCAAGCGCACTATGTAGCTGAGGATCCTTCTGACTCCATTTTCAAGTACTAGGATCATGTGGCTTGTACTACCATGCCCAACTAACTTCATTTAATTGTAAGAACATTTCTAGGTATATCAAGCAGGCAAAGAATAATAAATTACTCACAATTTCAAACACAGTGACTTTGTACAATTACAGGGTTTTCTGGGCCGACTGGCAGACTCTGATGGGATTATGCTATCCAGACACACAAAAAAAATAATTTCAATTAATTAAAATAATTACTTAAAACTAGAAACAACTTCAATCTATAAATTCCTCCTAAAGTAAAACAAACAGATGCATCCATTTCTAGCAAAATTTTACTAGATTGTTCCATTTACAATTTTAAAAATATGATCAACAACTGCTTAAGAATACATGACACACATTCTTTCCTCTAAAAGAACAGAGGTTGAAAATAGCTTCAAAAACTCCTAGGGTTTACTTATGAAAGGAAGGCAGGAAGGAGAAGCTGGTATGTGGAAGGACAGGCCAACAGGGACGGACTGACACCCTCTAACTAACTCCACACTGCTCACAAGCTGCTAGAGCAAAGGCAGCAACCAACAGCTAAACACTGACAAAAAGCCAAAGCTTAACCCAGTGAAAAACAACAGGTAACATCACTTTACAATGTTCAGAGTGAGTGGGAAAACATGGCAAAACTGGCAAAGCCATAGGGCGTCCTTCACTGACGGTCTCCAAACTTGTCCACTTGAAGTATTTCAAAACAGAGTCCTTTAGACAAATACACAGCTTTAAAGGGAAAAGCAAATGCAATATATTTGGAATAAATCTATTAATGCTGCGCTTAAACTGACTTAATAATTCAATTTACATATTTAAAAAGTACTCACCCATTGAATGGAAGCCTTGCCTGTGTCTGGATACCAGATGTTCCAGTAAAATTAGAGTTGCTTGCTATAGATACATATGAAGACTGCTGCAACTATTGGCAAAGAAATAAGTTCATATAAGATTTGCAAAAAGGGATAGCACTCTCAGGCATAACAATGAGTAAGAAGTACGTCTAATCAAAAAAGGAAAAGCAATGGGGAATTTCATATAAGCCTCATGGTGTGTTTCCAAAGACCTCAACCAATACTAGTGAAAATGCATGAATGTTTTACAGCATTGAATGTTACAGATATAAAAAAAAAAATACTTCACAAAAGACTACGTCAGGATTACAGGAAATTCTAGATGAGCATCCTACAAGTACTGAAATAACATCTCCTAACTTATAAGATAGGTACTGTATTATTCATGACATTACAAACAATAAAAAAGGGGCAGTCCATGCACAACTTCTATACTGCAAGTTTGTGTAAGCATACAAAATGTTAAGGTAAAAATACTGAACTTTTTAAAATCGTAGCCACACAAACTATAGTTAACAGCAAAGAACACATGTGGGTTTTCATTGTCTTGTGATTAGAACTCATCAGTTCAACAGTTTGGAACACAGTGCTCACTGGCTCGACCCAGACACAGCAAAGGAAAGCCCCATCTGCATCTGCTTCCTGTCACCAGCACTCCCAACCCAACCTGACAAGAAGTAATGCATGGCTTCCATTCCAAAGACGGGAAGAGAGCAGGAACAAATCACTAAAATATGACATCTTAGGGGTAGAGATGGCTCAGTGGGCAAAGTGCTTGCCATACAAGAGAGAGAATCAAGGCGCACGCCTTTAATCCCAGCACTCAGGAGGCAGAGGCAGGCAGATCTCTGTTGAGTTCAAGGCCAGCCTGGTCTACAGAGCGAGATCCAGGATAGCCTGGGCTACACTGAGAAATGCTGGCGTAGTTTGAATATAATTGGCCCCCATAAGCTCATAAGGAGTGGCATTATTAGAAGGTGTGGCCTTATTGGAAGAAGTGTGTCACTGTGGGGGTGGGCTTTGAGGTCTCCTTTGCTCAAGCTCCACCAGTTCACTTCCTGTTGCCTCTGGATCAAGATGTAGGACTCTCAGTTCCTTCTCTAGCACCAAGTCTGGCTGCAGGCTACCATGTCCCACCATGATGATAATGGACTGAACCTCTCAACTGTAAGCCACCCAATTAAATGTTTTCCTTTATAAGAGTTGCTGTGGTCATGGTGTCTCTTCACAGCAAGAGAACCCTAACTAAGATGGACCCTGTCTCAACAACAACAACAAGAAACAAACAAACAAACAAGAAGAGAGGATCAGAGTTTGGATCCCCAGCACACATGTAAATGCCCAGCAGTTGTGGTGACCCAATTAATTATTGTGCAGGATCCCAGGGGCCAGCTGGCTAGCTAGATTAGGCAATTTGCCACATTCTGAGTTTAAGTCAGAGACCATGCCTCAATATATAAAGTGGAGAGGAATGGAGGAAAACACTAGCCTCTGGCCTGAACAAGTGAGTACACACATGTGATACACATACTTACCTGCAGACATGTGCCCTTCATGCATGCACATACACACCATACTCTGTCTCTCTCTGTCTCTCTCTCTCTCTCTGATATGAAACCTTTGTTTTTTGTTTTTGTTTTATATTTTATTTTTATGTGCATTTGTGTTTTTGCCATGGGTGTCAGGGTCCCCTGAAACTGGAGTTACAGACAGGTGTGAGCTGCCATGTGGGTGATGGGAATTGAACTAGGGTCCTCTGGAAGAAGAGTCATCGCTCATAACCCCTGAGCCATCTCTCCAGCTCCTGAAACCTTTGTTGAAAACAGTAGCTCATGCCTAGCCTCCCAGCACTCTGAAGGTGGAGGCATGGTGAATTCCAGGTCAGCCTAGGCTAGAGTGAGATCCTGTCTCAAAAGAAGTCGCCAAGAAATGTGAATTGCAGCTTATTGTCAAGGGTGTGTGCAGATGAACATTAGTTTGGGCACAGGTTTTCCTAAATCACTGGGATTTGATTTTTAATGTTAACTTTTTTTATTTTTTAAGATTTTCAAGACAGGGTTTCTCTGTGTAGCTCTGGCCATACTGGAACTTGCTCTCTAGACCAAGCTAGCCTGAACTCACAGAGATCCTCCTGCCTCTGCCTCCCGAGTGTTGGGACTCAAAGCATGCACCACCACCACCCAGCTTAATGTCAACTAGCTTTCTAATCTATAGTCTTGCCCTCTCAAGCTATTTCAAATTACCCAACTTTTAATGATTTATTTTATTTTATGCACATTGATGTTTTGCCTGCATGTGCGTCTGTGTGAGGGTGTCAGACCCCCTAGAACTGGAGTTACAGACAGTTGTGAGTTGCCATGTGGGTGCTGGGAATTGAACCTGGGACCTCTGGAAGAACAGCCAGTGCTCTTAACCACTGAGCCATCTCTCCAGTCCCAAATTGCCCAATCTTATTTGTGCTGTATATTTCTAAATTCTAAACAAAGGACTGAACTCAAATGTTCAGTGAATATTTCCACTTTTAGGAAACAGAGCTGACGTTTATGTTAGCCTTACAACACAGCAGAGCTGGACACGCCAACGCCAGCCGGCAGTTCTGAAGCCTTAGTCCCCCCACTCCACGTACCTGAGTAACATACTGAGCTGGAAGCACCGCATAGCCCACATTCCCTGTTCCTGGAGCCGGTGCCAGCACAGTGCCTGGTGGCAGGTTAGTGAGGTTGGGCTGGATCTGAGGCAGTGGAGTGGCAGGCATGATAAGCCGTTGCTGTGGCTGGTTAGTAGTTACAATTTGTGAAGTTGAATTGATTGGTTTTGGAACAACCTAAAAATTTTAAAAAATTTAAAAAAGGTAAATTTGTGATTAAATAATAAAAAACATCAATTAAGCTGCTCAATTCAGTATAAAACTCCTACACATAAATCTTTTTTTTCCCTCTATGTAGCCTGCTGGCCTAGACCTCCTTTTGTAGACCAGGCTGGCCTTGAACAGGCAGAAACCCTCCTGCCTCTGCCTCCTGGGTACTAGGATTAAAAGCATGTGACCCCATGTCCAGCCTCTTATAACCAAATCTGAACTTTGAACTTTAAACTCCAATTGCCCTTTGAGAACAACTGAGAAACTGTGCAGTCCTCACCTGTTTAACGGCCTGAGTAGGGACGAATGGAACTGACATCCGGACGGGGGTAGTGTTAACAACCACTGGTTTTGCTTTTTAAAAGGGGAAGAAAAAAAGAACAGTTTATTTACAAAAACAGTACTCAAAACACTGAAGAATAATTCTCCTTCAAGACATGCTTAAGAAACAGTTTAAAGCATTCCACTTGATTCTCATTTTGCGAAATCTTTAATCAAGCTAGCTAACCAAGCCTTGGGAGGCAGAGGCAGGTGGATCTCTGTGAATTGGAGGCTAGCCAGGTCTACATAATGAGTTCCAGGCCAGCCAGGGCTACATAGAGAGACCTAGTCTCAAACAAAAACCAAAACAAACAAAAAAGGGAGTTCCCTTTCCAAGTTGCTTACTCTAAGGTGAGTAATCCACCCAGCTGAGGGACTATGCACTGAAACTCCTTCTGCCTGTGCTCATCACACAAGCAAATATCTGCCATTTACAAATTCAGCTAAGTACACCGTTCCATGCTACTATTCCTAATTTCTGTGTTTGAATTCAAGCTAGAGAAAAGATCATATTTGTGCAACTCAGTATTTAAAATCGACAACAGGGCAAAAAGGTTAAGAACCTGAGTTCTTGAGCTGGCAAAATGGCTCAGCAGGTAAAGACTGAGTTCAGTCCCTGGAACCCATATGATGGAGGGGAAGAACCAACTCCTACAACTCTGACACATCCATGTGTGCATATGCCATGCACTCATGCACACACATATACGTGCATGAGCACACCTGCACATACAACACACTCATGCACCAATAAGCATATAGGCACACACAACATTCATGAACACATTCATTCACATACACTCACGTGTACACACAAACATATATACATGCATACATGAGTATAACTACTCATACACACACTCAAATATATGCATACACACTCACAGGAATGTATACACACATACATTAGTAATTAGAAAAGAGTAAGTTCTAAAGTCAGAGGATCCAGTGGGTCGAACCCCAGTTCTTCCACTTTTAACTGTGTGGTCTCTTTGCCTGTGATTTTGAATGTAACTATCCAGACAGGGTATAAGGATTAAAGACATTAATTCATTAAAGAGGACTAAAATAGTTTCCACCAAATAGCAAGTGTCCATAAACGTCAGTTATCAACACTACTACTAAATAAATAACCACTGCTACTAAATAAATAATATTCTGGCCAATGCTCCCCAGGATACTAAAATATAAAGCATTTGTTCTTAGTATCATATTGTTGAACAGATTAAGCAAGCACCCCAAAGAAAAGAGAAACTACTTAAAATTTCTTTAGATTTATCTTATGTATATCAGTGTTTTGCCTGCCTGCCTGCCTGCATTTATGTCTGTGTACCACATGCATGTCTGGTTCTAATAGTGTGTCAAATCCCATCGAAGTGGAATTACAGACGATTGTTGAGCTGCCATATAGGTGCTGGAAACTGAACCCAGGTCCTCTGCAAGGGCAGCATTGCTATCTGGACTGTTGAGTCACCTCTCCAGACCCACAGGAAAACAGAAATCATAATCATACAAGTACTTTATAGGGACTGAGCAGGTTATGAGTGAGTGTGTGTGTGTGTGTGTGAATGTGAATAATTAAAGAAATAGAGTGCTGTGGAATATTGTTCTGTATGCTGTGAATATGTGTTGCTCTGATTGGTTGATAAATAAAACGCTGATTGGCCAGTAGCCAGGCAGGAAGTATAGGCCAGATAAGCAGACAAGGAGAATTCTGGGAAGAGGAAGTCAGAGTCAGGAGTTGCCAACCAGACAAAGAGGAAGCAATACGACAAGGCAGAACTGAGAAAAGGTACCAAACCATGTGGCTAAACATAGTTAAGAATTATGGGTTAATTTAAGTGTAAGAGCTAGTCAGTAATAAGCCTAAGCAAATAGCCAAGCAGTTATAAATAATATAAGCTTCTGCGTGATCATTTTAAAAGCGGGCCAAGGGACTGCGGGGGCCTGGTGGGACTGGAGAAAACTTCTGGATGTTTCTGTCATAACTCACATTTTTTGGAAGTCACTTGTTTGCATTTCCTTTTTACTCAGTTAATATTATTTCCTTCTCGTGTCTCTGAAGGAGTTTAAGATTAGATAGTTATAGTTATAGATTTCCTTGTTAAGAAATTCAGAAAAGAAGCCGGGCAGTGGTGACGCACGCCTTTAATCCCAGCACTCGGGAGGCAGAGCCAGGCGGATCTCTGTGAGTTCGAGGCCAGCCTGGTCTCCAAAGCAAGTTCCAGGAAAGGCGCAAAGCTACACAGAGAAACCCTGTCTCGAAAAACCAAAAAAAAAAAAAAAAAAAAAAAAAAGAAATTCAGAAAAGAAACTCACTAAGAGGTGTTAAGTGTATAAGTGTGAAAGACATCATAAGAGAGTTTTCTGCTGGTAATACAAGATAGGATAGAAACTGAATTAGGTACCTTTTGGACTCACCAAAATAGGATAGACAATGGAATATTTTCTCTGAATTTGTCAAATGCAAATGGACTGGACATTGTTGATGTATTTATTGTTTGTATGTATTGTATATAGTTATTGTACTTTTTGTATATAGTTTTTCTTAGTTATAACTTTTTAAAAATTTTTTATTAGACAAAAAGAGGGAAATTTGGTGATATTTTATTTGTGCTGAAATGTGGTGATATTTTATTTGTGCTTTAGTAAATAAAGTTTGCCTAGAGATCAGAGGAAAAAGCCAGCCACAATACAGAAGTCAGGCAATGTTAGCACACAACTTTAATCCTATCACTTAGCAGGCAGGATCTCTTTATGTTCAAGCCCACACTGGAAACAGAGCCAGGTGTGGTGGCACATGCCTTAAATTCAAAACTAGTTAACCATGGAGGTCTGGAGGTCTGTACAGACAGACAGGAATTAACAGAGCTGGGTAGGAAGAGGAAGTGACGTAGCTGAACGGAGAGAGCAAATCAGATGACAGAACAGCAAGGCCTATGTGTATGGGTAGACAGGAAGTCGTGGCATTTGGAAGCTGCAGAATTGGTGAGGTAAGGTTGGCTGGTGGCTTTCCCTATTTCCCTGACCTCTTTAAGGTTTTCACCTCTATATTTGACTCCGTGTTTTTTATTTAATAAGACTATTTAGACATTCGTCTACAATAGAGTCATTGAAGTTGAGAGAAAGCAAAGAGGGGATGCATGGGAAGGGATGGAGGGAGGAAAAGGAAGAAGTAAAATGATGTAATTATATTTAAAATTCAAGAAATAAAAAAACTACTACTAAGAAAGTAAACTGCCTTGAGATTTCAAAGAAACGAAAAACAAATATACACCTTCGTTGGCAGAAAATGGGAATGCGGGAAGAGTACGAGAAGGACGCCAGGAGAGGCCCCGCCATGAGGCAGTAGTGGAGGCAGCTACGGACTGTGGCAGGGCTTCTGCAGACACAGCCTGAGAAGTGGCAGCCACAAAGCACACTCAAATACACGTCAGTAAAAACACCAGTCTGGGCGTACTTTAGGGTTGAAGTAGACACAGAGGACACGGGGCAGGATGCTGAGGAACCTTGAATACTAAGGTAGAGTAAGTGTATACTTATTTTGTGTTTTGTTTGTTTGTTTGTTTTTGAGAGAGAAGGTCTCTCTATGTAGTTCTAGCTGTCCTGGACCTTGCTATGTAGACCAGACTGGTATCGAACTCACAGAGATCCACCTGCCTCTGCTTCCTGGAGTGCTGGGATTAAAGGCATGCACCACCACCACCCGGCAAGGGCTTGTTTTCTTAAATTTAATTTTAATTTTTGAGACAGGGTCTCACCATATAGCTCTGACTGGACTGGAACTTGCTATATAGACAAGGCTGGCCTTGAACTCAGAGAAATCTGCCTACCTCTGCCTACCCCAGTGCTAAGATTACAGGCATGAGCCATCATGCCCACTCTTATTCTATATTTTTAGTTCTATAGGCAATGAGAAGTTTCTAGGGACTCTGAGGTACCTAAATATTATTAAAACGGCACAAAGGAAAATGTATTTGGCAGCAGTGTGTGAGAAACAAAACAGCCAACTCAAGCTGCAAGAACCAAGACAAAGCAGAAGAGCGCAGGCATGAAGGAGTGGGTGCTGCCCCGGGGGTTAGAGTGCATGCCAGAGACCTGGGGGAGGGGAAAGGAAATGACCACCCCAGCCCAGTGCCAGGAACAGGGTGGAAGGGAAGAAAAGGCTGGTCACTGCCGAGCTACCCGAACAAGGGTGGCTGCTAGACTAAACTCTCGAGGTGCGCTGTCTTGCAGAGGCCAGAAACCTGATGTAGAGAAACGCTGGAAAAACTCGGGAAACAGGCTGGCAACGGACCAAAGAACTTGGTCCAGGGCCAATTAGGTATAATTATGAAAAACGCTTACCACCATTTCCAGAGCCTTGAAGGGGGTGGGAGTAAGAAGACAGGAAGGATGTCACCTGGGGTTTCATTTATGCAAGAGTAAAGCTTGGAGCCTGGTCTCAGAGACTGTACAGGGAAACAACTGTTTTAACAATAGATGAAAAAGCCTTCTTTGTATAAAAGGCCATCATGATAGCAATGGAATTCTCTCTTCTTGACTCTGATGGAGACCAGCAGGACAGCAGCTAAAGGCAGAGACACTGATGGCCCTGGAAGACAGCTCTAAGGGGAGCAGGCTGGTACAAGGCACACTAGGGAGCACACGCTAGGGAGCACACACCAGTGCCACGGTGAGCATGACCACACAACTCTGCCTGGCTTGGGACGGCCAGCTCAGTGGGGAAAGCACTTGCCTCCTAAGCATGAGCCCCACACACCCACAAAGAGCCAGATGCTGTACAGTGCCTAATTCCAGCACTCCTGTAGTGGGATGGGAGGTGAGACGGGAATCCTGGAAGCTCAAGGAGTGGGCCAGCCTGGTGTACTGAGCAGGAGACAACAGGAGTTCTCAACAGGGTGAGAAATGACACGAAGTCTGTCCTCTGACCTCCAGATGTGCTGTGACAAGTGTAAGCCTGAACTCACAAGTGTGTGCACACACAAAGATAAAATAAAAGAGAATTTGAAAGTATATATAAAATATTTCAATAAAGTTACAATAAAAATGCATAAGCAGTATGCAGTGGTTTGAATAAGAATGGCCCCTGGGCTCGTGTCTGAATGCTTGGCCACTGGGGATGGAACTCTTTGAAAGGACACAGCCCTCAACTACTTCTCCAGCACGACGCCTGCCATACCTGCTTGCCATGCTCTCACCATGATGATAATGCACTAACCCTCCAAAACTGTAAGCCAGCCCCAAATATTTTCCTTTACAAGAGTCACCATGGTCATGGTGTCTCTTCACAGCAGAACAGTGACTAAACACAGTGCAGTGACATTGGATTTGAAGTTATTTCTGAGTTTGATTCTCCTCAGTTACACCAAAGGATGAATAAAGTTATAAAAAGCCATTACAGATGAGCGCTAGCAATACTGGATTTAAAAGAAAGTTCAAATATACACTTGACCCTAGCACCTGCTCTTTGGACAGAGGAGAAAATGGTCACCCTCCTGTGAGCACATAGAGCAAGCAGCATGAATAGGATAATCCCCTGGTGCTCAGAAAAATAATACTGAAGGGTTGTGACCTGCCCAGTCCCATCAATATGGAGTTGTCTTCACCTCCTCCCCTCATGCACACACAAATGTGTGCTGCACACAGCCTCCTGGAAAACTTAGGTACCCACATTTACAATAATGTACCTAATGAACTAGAGTACCTTCTTGGCTCATCTATTTCAACTTGCTATTCCTATAAAATACTACATAATACAAATATATAGATCTTCTATGTAAAGACAGAAAAGAAAAATACAGGTGCCTATGAGAGAAACTGCATACACAGAATACGTATGTGGATGGGTTGGAAGAGGGCAGAGTAGGGTGGAGGAGGCAGGAGGGAGGCAAAGAGGTTTGGAAGCAGGAGTCAGTCAGAGACTGTAAGGAGGACAAGAAAACGGAGTAGAGAGATGCAGAAAGAGATGGAAGCTGGAAGGAATAAACACATTAGAATTGTCCAATTCCACTCCTCTCCCTTCCCGTATCTACAGTTCACTATTTTTACTCTACCAATGAATAAAACAAGCTAGTGTTACACTGGGAATGGAGTCATGGCACACTATACACAAGCAAACGCCCATAAAATACAACTGATTTATATCACTATGACATATACGTAGATTGGATCCATCCCTACTAAGTGTAAGTATTGAAAATAAAAAAAAATGACTCTTTTAGTTCATGATATGGAAGTTTCATTTTCCTTTTCATTAAGAATGCTCTGATAGGAGCTGGAGAGATGGCTCAGCGGTTAAGAGCAGTGGCTGCTCTTCCAGAGGTCCTGAGTTCAATTCCCAGCAACCACATGGTGGCTCACAACCATCTGTAATGAGATATGGTGCCCTCTTCTGGCATGCAGGGATATATGCAGAGAGAGCACTGATACATAATCAACAAACAAACAAACAAGTGAAGAGGAATGCTATGACAGGACCAGGGAGATGGCTCAGGGGGTGAAGGTGCTTGCCACCATGCTTAAAGACCTGAGTTTGATCCCTGGGACTCACATAATGAAGGAGAGAACCAGCTTCCCCAAGAGAACCTCCACATGAGTGCAACACACTTGACCCACCCTCCACAGGGAACTCAAAATAAATAACTATCTGGTATTTGATTCTTGCATTTATCTCTGCACTGGGTTTTGTGGTGTTGGGATCGGGCCTAAAGCCCTCCTTACATATATTAGGCAAGCACTCCAGCACTGACCCACATCCTCATCTCTTCAACTTGACATTGTTGAACATAAAGCACTTTTCCAAAGAAAAACAGGCTCTAAGCTCTAAGTTATTCTGAACCTTCCATTCTGCTCAACTTTTGAAAAGTAGCCAAGCATGAGAACAGTTACGTGTGTGCCTATGTATCAGGTAACAGGAATGCTTGTCTGTTGGCAGAGTCTTATTGCAGGGTGGCCTTGAAACTGCCACATAAATGAGGACCTTGAACTTCTGCTCCTTCTGCACCCACCTCCCAAGTGCTGGGCTGACAAGGCGTGTACAGCCACACCCAGTCTGTGGTGTTACAGCAAACCTAGGCTCTGTGCATGCAAGGCAAGTACTCTATCAGCTGATTGGTAGAGTGCCAATGATAATCTTAAAGTAAGTACTATTCAAAAAAGGATTAAGCTAACTGTTACATTCTTTTTTTGTTTTGTTTTTTCGAGACAGGGTTTCTCTGTGTAGTTTTGGTGTCTGTCCTGGAACTCACTCTGTAGACCAGGCTGGCCTCGAACTCACAGAGATCCGCCTGGCTCTGCCTGCCGAGTGCTGGGATTAAAGGCGTGTGCCAATGCCCGGCCACATTCTTATTTATACACTGATCACTTGTCATGTCAACTGACCCAAGCTTTAGCAAAGAGCTGTCTAGTTCAGAGAGTAAACAAAGCTATCCCATTGACATAAATAGTGGGTTAATTAGCAGTAAAATAGCTACTCAGTTAATGAATACTCATGATTATCTGGTATTATAGCAACTAACTTCTCCCGGAATGAAACAGTAGTTACATACAACTATGCTCTTACTTCACTGTCTTCTGTAACCACTGCTTGTTCATATTTTGGAGGAAATGCCAGATGTAAAAACAGAAGCAATGTTCTTTCACAGTGTTCAAAGCATTTATTGCTGTTAAAAGAAACATGGTCACAAACCTTGCTGAAGAGGCTGAGTGTTTACACTGGGATTCTGACTAGCTGGCTGGGCTGAACTACTGGCTGTTGTGGCGGTAACAAGTCGGACATAATGAAACTTGCTTCCAGGTACTTGGATCTGCTGGACATTGGGAGCAGTTGCCAGAGGAATGATGGTCTTAAACTGTGATGTGTTCATCCCTCCAACAGTGATGGTCTGCACAGCTGATTTCACTGCCTGTCAGATAATACAGAACAACATGTCTACCATTAACCTGTTAACTTACGACAGTCACTAAGGTAACAGAGTGTGCTCTTAAGTCTCAACAACTTGTTCAGAAAGAAATGAAAAAGAACATTCAGTTGGAGCTGGAGAGATGACAGCTCAGGTGATAAGCACTCTCTAGAGGACCAGAGTTTGGTCTCCAGGTTCAATGGGAGGCAGCTCACAATTACCTGCTACTCAATTTCCAGGGGATCCAATGCACTCTTCTACCTCCCCAGGCACCTGCACTCATATGCGCGCACACATACACATACACACACACACACACACACACACACACACACACACACACACACTTTAAAATTAAATCTTAAAAAATTCAGAAGAATTTGAAGAAGAGCAGGGAGGGAGATATGGGAGAGCTTAGAGAAAGATAAGAGAAAAACATTGTAATTATATTATAATCTCAAAAATAAAAAAATTTAAAAACTGAAAAAAAATGCAAGAATGCACACAATTTTGTTGCTATTAGGTAACATTTATGACAAAGTTATCTTTTTTTGACTCTCAGAATTAGAAAGAGAATACAGATGTTTTTACCAAATAAACTAACTATATATATATTTTTTAATATGTTCTAAAGAAGGACCATTCTGTTCCTGTGGTGGTATTTTACTTGTACTGAAATGTGATTTTAACTGTATGTTAATAAATAAAGTTGCCTGGGGGTCAGAGCTATTAGAGCCATAGCAAGAGCGTGGCGGTGGTGGCGCACGCCTTTAATCCCAGCACTTGGTAGAGAGAGCTAGGTAGATCTCTTTGTGTTCAAGGATACAGCCAACATTGGAGAAACACGCCTTTAATCTCAATACCATAGAGGACCTGGAGGGCTGTACATACAGGCAGTGACGAAGCAGTCATGTGTTTGGGTTTACAACCAATAAGAAGGCAGAACAGACAGTCTATATAAAGATGAACAGACAGGAAGTAGGCCCTCTTCGGAGAGCTCTCTTGGCTGAAGCAGGAAGGGTAAGGCTCTTAGTTCTGACTTCTTGGCTTTCTTCTCTGAATTGGCTCTGTGTTTCTTATTTAATAAGACGGTTGGTTACATCTACATTTTCCTGTATCAAGTTTAGTTGATTTTGAAAGGCTACAACATCCACCACCCTGCTACACAAACCTATGGACATGATGCCAAATACAGTTCAAAATTATTTCAACTAATGGTTGTCTAGAGAAACTAACCAATTTTGGGCATAACAAATCTGAATCAAATTTTAAAAATCATTTTAATAATTTTCTCTACCAGATAGTAAGCTGAGACCTCCTGAGAAGCAAATGAAATTTCAGAAGCAGCCCAGAAAACAACTAGTCTCATGAGATGTCCCTAATTTACGTGTGACTCATGTTTAACACACTGTCCACACAAGCCAAGGTGAACTGGGTGTGGGTGGTGGACATTTGGCAACCTCAGCAGTGAAGAAGCTGAGGCCAGATGGTGAGTTTGTCAAGGCTGCTGCGGTGACACATTGAAACCCTACTTAAAACAATAAATAAATGAAATAAAGGCAGTTTAATCTCTTGTAATATATTAGCTCATAAAAGATTACATATACCCCTAGTTAGTCTACAGAAAGACCTCACACAGACAACTACCAGATGACAATCTAAATTCACTTATTCACACTTTTTTCTATCTCATAGGGCAGAGCTCAGTAGTCGAGTGCTTGTTTAGTATTTAAGGGACCTCAAGCTTAATTCACAGCACTGCAAAACAAAACAAATTTTTAAAAATGGGGGTGGAGATAACTAAGTCATAGGCACTTTCTATTTTTTTTTTTCCCTCTGAGTGATGCTGCAGAGTGTCTTCCAATCACCAGCTACTGAGCATACTGGGAATGGAATGGGTACCTCTGCTAAGCTTGCTCCCCCTCCCGCTTCTGAAGCTGGCGGAATACTAGCCACTCTCCAGATGCAATCTCAACAGGCCAGCACTTGCAGAGTACCTGGCTCACAACTCTCCTTTATAATTCCAGGTCCAGGGAATCTGAGGCCCTCTTCTGGTTTCTGTGGGTACCAGGTATATACACAGTGCACAGACATACAGAAAGGCAAAACTCTCATACACATAAAAAGAAAATGTTAAAAACAGAAACTCAGACCTTTTAATTGTTAAACTTTTTCTTTATCTTAAGCTTGAAGCTACCACTCTTATAAGCTATACCTAACTGGTTTTCAACTGCCTAAGTTGGATCTGACTACATTTTAAATCAGTATACAAATCTGTCTCCATTTTTAAAATACATATCTATTGTTATTGTATATGTGTGGTTATGATGTGTCTGTCTGAGTGAGGACAGACACATCTGTGCCCTGACATGGATCTGGGGGTCAGAGATAAGAGGGTTCAAGTCAGTTCTCTTCCTGGTGATCAACTCAGGTTGCAAGGCCTGCGCAGCCAGCACTTTAAGCCACTAAGCCATCGCTGGCCCAAGTCATTTACATGTCATACATACAGTCACATATTTCATAAATCAGTCACTGTAGTCTCCTTTCAAATAATTCAACCTTTTTTTGTTTCTCTCTCTCCTTTTTTGTCTTCTTTGGGGCTAAATATTTTATGAGCTTTGGGAATGTTGCTCAGTGCTACAGTCCTTACTTGCCTGGTATGTACAAGGCCTAGACTTGATCCTGACATCTCACACAGAAATGTCTTACGGTACTAGTTTTGCACATCTACAAACTTACTTTTACTAACCTATTTTCTCTATGTTTCTTACTTTACCTTTTGCCTCAAGAATTCACTGCGGGATTTCCTTAAATGTGGGTCTATTGACAGGAAATTCAAAAAGGAAGGAAGGAGCTTTGTTCTTAATATGCATCTAAACTACTGAATTCTTAATCTCAGTTTAAAATTTTTTGTTTGAAGCTCTTCCTATCAGGTCTAAGGATATAGTTCAATGGCCAAGGACTTGCTGAACAAAAGTGAAGCTCCCAGCAAACTGTCCTGATTTCCATGCACACTCCAACACAAACACAAGCACACACACACACACACACACACACACACACACACACACACACACACACACAAAATACATTGTAATAAAAATTAAAACAAAACACCAACAAAAAACAAAATACAAATTCAGAGAACTCAAAGGATCCTACTCTAGTTCACTCTTACTAGGCTTATAGCAGATGACAAGGAAAATAACATCCTTTCTCTTCAAATTACATTCATTACCATCACTCATTTACATAGAGGCTTCACAGCATAAGTAACCAACTTTGGGGCCACTTCTCAAAATCTGTGTTAACTTTCAGCTTTGCAGCACCATCACCGCTCAGATCACTTCCTGCCAGATGTTTGTAGAACATCCAGAATTGGTTTCAGGAGCCTTTGTTTGCCCCAGTCTGCCAGTCAGACACTAAGTGACTAGCATTCTCTCTGACTTTAGCACCTCACTGCAGGAGCATGCCACCTTCTAATTAGGAATGCAACTAGTTCTAAATTTGCTTTGTTTTGTAGATTATTCCTCATCTGACCCTGTTTATTTTCTCTCCATTCCAAGCCATTACCAACTCTAATCACAGTGGTTGTAACATGTTCATCATCTCCAGTCCTGTGCTCTTGTGGCTGACATCTATCCCAGAAACACGTCTATACGAAAACATAGCTCAGGGCAATGTTCCCATTCTGGGATACATTCTCCAATGCTCCCAATTGGAGCTGATGCACCATTGGAGTTGGTGCTCTTGTTCCACTATGTGGGTCCCAAAAACCAAACTCAGGTCCTCAGGCTTGGCAGGAAGAGCCTTTCTCTGCCGAGCCATCTACCCACCCCTTCTATCTTTTCTTGATTTTGAAATTTTAAGTTTGTACAATTATTTGGCTCATTTTTAAAATAATGTTTTCTTTATCCTACATAGAACTTTAGGTTTCATATATCCACGTTTCCCCTAAAAAGAATACTGCCGTAACATGCAGTAGGCATTCGATATATACTTCTAAGTGGTGAATGAACACTAGGACTTAACCTATCTCTTTTTCTTTAATTTTCACATCTTCTTTCCTTGTATTGGAAAACTAGTTGTGGGTGCTAAAGAGATGGCTCAGCAGCAAAGAGCACTGTCTGCTCTTGAGGAAAACCTGGGTTCTGTTCCCTGAACTCACAGCAGCTCCCAATCCATACTCCAACTCCAGGGAATCCATCTTAGTTAGGGTTTCTACTGTTGTGATAAAACACTATAACCAAAGCAACTGGAGGAGGAAAGAGTTTGCTTCATCTTACAGCTACACATCACAGTCCACCAACAAAGGAAGAATGGCAGGAACTCAAGGCAGGAATCTGGAGGCAGGAACTGAAGCAAAGGCCATGGAGGAATATTGTGGAATACTAATTTGTGTTACATTTGTTTATGCCGTGGAACGTTTGTTTAATGATGCAAAGATGTGTTGCAATCTTTTTTTTTGGTTTTCCAAGACAGGGTTTCTCTGTGTAGTTTTGGTGCCTGTCCTGGATCTCACTCTATAGACCACCTGGCCTCGAACTCAGAGACTTGTCTGCTTCTGCCTCCTGAGTACTGGGATTAAAGGTGTGTGCCACCGCCGTTCAGCAAGTTGCATTCTTTTATGTTGCATTTGTTTAACTCTGTGAAGCTATGTTACTTTGCCTGTCTGAAATACCTGATTGGTCTAATTAATAAATAGCTGAACAGCCAATAGCAAGGCAAAAGAATATATAGGCAAAGAGAATATATAGGAGGAGAAATCTGGGAAGAGAAGATCGAAGGAGTGAGAAAAGGAGAAGAGAGGACACCAGGGGCCAGTCACCCAGCCACCCAGCAAGGCACAGAGTAAGAAGTAAAGAAAGGTATATAGAATAGAGAAAGGTAAAAGCCCAGAGGCAAAAGGGAGATATAATAATTTAAGAAAAGCTGGCTAGCAACAAGCCAAGCTAAGGCCGGGCATTCATAAGAAAGAATAAGTCTCTGTGTGTGATTATTTG